GCTTTGGATACCTTCTGCTTTGGACCCCCATGTGATAAGGCCCCTCCATTGAGTACATCTGGAGCCAATGTCCAGCCATTGAACAGAATCTTGGACATTGTAACACCATGTCCCTTAATGTTATGTACTAAGAGAGAGAGAGAGAGATGCTTCTATAAGCATGAATGTGGAATACATCCTCAGCTAAAGACTGTGCATCAGTAAACTCTCTCCCATAAAGCAATGAGTGCATGCAGACACTGCCTACATTTTAAACATTCTTACAGATGCAATTTCACAAGTGACTTAGGAAATTATCACTTTAGAAAATAATGCGACTGATCCCAACAGGATACAGTCGTGTTTTGGATTAACATATGATTTTATTACACTCAAATCATCAGCATTGCTACTGGGTGACTGCAACCTGGTGGCAGCCCGTGTCCCAGCTACGCTTATTCAGCTACTTTTCCAAAATGGGAGCTTACTGTTTTGGAAAAGTGGAAGGATAAATGCATCTGGGACCCGGGCTGCCACTGGGTTGCAGTTACCTGGTGGCAGTGGCAGTGATTTGAATGTGATAAAATCAGCTGTTAATCCAAAATGCAATTGTATCCCCTCAGGGATCAGTCACATTATTTTCTAATGTGATAATCTCTTTAATTTGAAGTGACATATCCTGGATAAATTAGGGATACTTTCTAGTAGGTCAAGTTAGGATTAACAAGCCAAATGTTGGAATCATCATTTTTTGTAGACTACAATTCTCAAAAACTCCTATCCAGCATGGGCAGTGGCCATGCTGACTGGAACTTTCTGGGTGATATGGTCTGACCAGTAACTTCTCCCAGGTCTTTAATCAAAATAAATGCTTATGTCCTTTGGTGACATGTCTCCATGCAGCATATAAAATTATTTTGATTCCTCTTAATGCATAGTTAGCTTTTGACTTCATAATCACTTGAAAACATTTGATATTTTAGAGTTCTGCAGCTGTATGAATTCCTCTATTTTTAGTACTACCCACTCCTGTTTGCCTGCAAGACTAAAAAGTGGTTAAAGTGTGTGATTCATAAAAAATGGCTAGTTACAGGTGAAATGTGAACCTTTCTCACTTATTGAGAAAGCATTTTAGCTGTCTCAAGGTGTTTTTAAAAATATATCACAGCAGGGTTTTTAAGGTGTTTCATTTTTTGAGGCTGACAGAAAAGTATATATTGTCACATATTCTTTTGGGTACTGGGATATGTTTATACTTTCTACCCAAGCATTCCACGTCATTATATTTAGGGTTAACTTGTTTTTGATTTGTCATCATGTGAAGGTTGTGTGAAAAAGTGCTGTATGGAAGTGTGTTTAAATTACACTTTAATCTCTGCAGTATTGTTGCAGTCATTCATAGTATAGAACAAAAAGCATAAAAGAAACATGTGTAATTTGAATGAGTATTCTAGCCAACTTAGGTTTTGTATTTACAAGTAAAACAATTGTATTTTTATGTTTCTCTGTGTGTTGTGCAAGTGGGAGAGAAAGAGAGCAAGGAGGCATTCTTGCAGTTGTGGAATTTATCACTCCAGCTTCTTTCTTATGAGGGAAATGTTTAAAATTATAGGAGGAGCATATCCAAGAGGTCCAAGCAGGATTCAGGAAAGGAAGAGGCACCAGGGATCACACTGCAAATATATTATGGCTAATGGAGTGTAGCAGGGAGTTCCAAAAGAAAATCAGCATGTGATTTATAGACTATAGCAAAGCGTTTGACTTCATAGATCATGAAAGGCTATGAACACCCTTAAAGACATGGGAGTGTCAATATATCTGATAGTCCTAATGAGGAATCTGTACTCAGGATAAGAGGCTACTGTCAGAAAAAGACATGGAGAAACAGAATGGTTCCCATTGGCAAAGGAGTCAGACAAGGCTGCATCCTATCACTCTACCAATTCAAGTTATATGCAGAACATATTGTAGGGAAAGCAGGATTAGACATGGAAGAGGGAGGAGTGAAAATAGGAGGAAGAAATATCAACAATCTGAGATAT